AACGTGATTATAGCAATGACTGCCTTGAATTCCATAGGACACACGCATGCACAATGACTGCCTTGAAGTCCATATGAAGCACGCACGCACGCACAAACACAACTCCAAACCCAAAAGTTCTCCGCCTTGTACTGCCGTCAAAAACTGATAATACTATTCTAATTGTGTATTATGTGACATATATTGAATGCTAATATGCATCCCGCCAAATGACGTGGACTATTGTGTACTAAAGTCTGACAAAACAGCGAGAAACAACTACTGTAAAATATTTTATTTTCGCTTGGAATTAATTTTCGCTATTTTCAGCGGAGGGAATGATTCAGTGAATATATATTTTATCCTATATATCCTACATTCAACTTGTCAAAAATCAGTGAAAATAAATTCCATACAAAACACTCAAAAAGTGTCTTCAGCGAAAATTAATTGCAGCTAAAATAAAGTATTTGACAGTGTTACACCAGATAACACTAGGTATAACCCCGGGCTTTGTGCTAATATATACACTTAACAAATATACACATTTAGAATTGGCGGTAAAATGGACCACGTACTGTTCATTCTTGTGTACCATTAACATGTATACACACACTGGAAGGTCACGATGTTGAAATAGCTAATAAGGTCGGCGACAAAGAAGAATGCATAACATTAAATAAGTATACTACATTATGTACGCAGCCCGACATACAGTGAGTTAAGAAGGCGATGTCCAGCCAGTAAAACTGACCATGGACCGACACAGTGGATTGTAAATTATTATTAATGGGGAAAAAAACGAAATTCTCAGAAACCTGCAAATATACTTTCGATACATTTGTCAGGACTGGCGCTATGCCGCGCAACATGTGCCAATTAATTCCTCGTGGTAGCGCGGCATGATTGAGGAAAGGCCGTCCTGGTGTATTATTACAAAAGCTCGTAAAATAACGGTCAGTTGTAGACCAACATTTTATGTCCAAATACCCGCCTGTCTCTTTCTATCACCGTTCTGTAGACTCCACGCTAAAAAAAATAGTGCAACATAGTGCAAGTAAATGTAACTACATGTGACCTAGAAAAATTTGAACCAATGTATGTTTGGCATTTTCGACGTCAGTAGGTCATGTTGGTCGTCGCTACGTGACGATAAGACGATAAAAAACTGACAGACTAGGAGGAAAAATCACTTACACACCTTGCGTTTAGGTCCTTTCCTTGTTACAGATCTAGGATAGTGTTGGCCTGATTGATGGAGGTCCTATCAACAGCAGTAACATGGACGTCTTAACGTGGCTACACTGATTATTTGCATACCTAAAGAACCTGAAAGTCAATGATCTGAGGGCGTGATACAAATAGCCGAGAATCCAGTCACTGAGATTGGATCACTCAACTATATAGGTCTCACTTATTGACGCGATATGAATGATTTGGGTGACAATGGGTGTCGGTCTTTTCTTAACGCATAAACCCTATAAGCAAACCATGCATACGATAAAATAAAATTAGGAGTGGGTTACAAGAGGTCGCTCATAAAAATACATTCAATTACTGCTGTGTCGGGCACCAATATTTCGTGGAAATCAGGGTCCGGGAAACAAGTTCACCAAAAACTTCTTTTAAAAAAAAAGAGAAAACTTCAATACAATCTGCTCATTGATATATCCTTTGTTGACAATGCATGTTCTGAACAGTTTAATTACTGTTTTACTTACGTTTATTAACGTTTTCTTAGTACTAGAGGTCATTCATTCACTTGCATACACCCCCCCATTGTTTATTGTCACTGAGTTACACGCCCCTATGAGTTATAAACGGTAAAACCAATTCATGAACGCGATTTACAACTGCTTGTTTTTTTGCCGAGGAAACCGAAGAAGGACTGCTTCTTTTTATATGACGAACGCAAACAATCACTCCAGTGGAACTAGCACATCGACTGAACCCACACCGTGTAGAAAGAAATACATATGATGTTATATTTCATTTCGAGCGTCATTTGTGTAACATTTGACTATTTCCGATCTGAGCCTGAGGGCCGCGCCAAAAAGTACGGTGTCTATACAACTTTTAAAAAGATTTGCGCATCCGTGTAGATATTTTGATTTTGAAAACCAGAAATTCGTATGTTTTTTAATATGGTAAGCACAATGCAAAAATAAATATTCCCGCTTTTTTGCCGTATGCTCGGACGGACATCCGGGTATTATCACCGCTTGGCATTTTCACCACCATCACGATGAAAACAAAGGTCGGTAACTCTAAAAAAAATGTACTTTGGGATGGTTGTTGAGACTCTCCCGAACAGTGTAACAAGATTACCTGTAAATGTGCAACATATTAAATGAATCAAGTGTAAATAAATTACTTTTTATTTGAAATAAAAAGCTATGAACAACACTCTCTCTCCGCTATCTAGTTTCATTTTTTTTAAATTCAAGTTTATCTTTTTCAAACTAATTTCATATTTCTATCTTAAATTCTTTCTTTTTAGTTTAATTTTTCTGCATTACTATGTTCCTTTAGATATGTTAAAATACTAGTGTTTGTTAGTTCTTCGTTTCTTTAATGCGGTAGTGGAGTAGCCCCTCCTCACCAGTAGCCTCGTCATATGGTTTCCAAGAATAGAGCACAATAAATGACAACATTACACACTAATATCAAATTTCTACAAGTAACACCAGAAATTAAATTTAAATAATTGAGCAGTTTCAATACATGCTGTGTAATTTGATTTGTTTTACTAAGTTGTCTATGATGAAATGTAATTTAAACTATTAAAACAAATTACGTGTCTGTAAAAGAAGTGACAATCTTGCCCCTTTTTCAGAGCATCTTTGTAGTTGTATTCCAATACCAGCGCTCTACGTTCCCAACATCTCCTATCATACGCCTTCTATCAATTTCGCCGTTGACGCGTGTTTGCATAAAGCGCTCAGTAAAATTATTACACGTCGCTGCACTTTAGTTGTATTCTCGGGGCGGAGCTACGTC